CTATCCACTGAGTCAAACCGGTTTCGGCATCGTTTCACTTTAAGTCACAGTTTCCAAGGACCTATAGGCCATATTAAATAAGGACTTACTATACTATATTGAATAGGAGTGGTGAGAATGAGCATCCTTTTCTTGTTCCTAATCTTAGAGGAAAAACTTTCAACATTTCACCATTGAGTATGATGTTGGCTGTGGGCTTGTCATGTACGGCTTTTATTATGTTGAGGTATGTTCCTTCTACACCTAATTTGGTAAGTTTTTTATAATGAATGAATGTTGAATTTGTCAAATTGAGATGACCTATTGAGCACAGACAAAGCACCACGCGGGGCCCAGGATCAGGTGCTGCGGGGCTGTCACCGGGGCTGTGGGTGGGGGTTGTCCCTCCCTCTGGCGCGGGACAGCTGCTGCCCACAGAGCAGCGCCAGCAGGACCCACCTCGCCCCCAGGGCCAGGCTCCTGGAGGCGGCTCACCTCCCCCACACCAGCCCCCGGGCCTTCTCCAGCCTCTCCAGGCGCCTGTGCAGGGCATGGGGGTCCCGGTGAGGACGGCTCCACCCCATGTGCACCCCGGGCCCTGGCAAAGGCTCAGGCCCAGAGCCCCAGGGCGCCCATCGGCTGGGGGCCCTTCCTGGCACCGGCAGCTCCAGCCAGCGGCCCAGACGGTTTGGTGGTGAAGAAGGCATTTGGGGGGAACATAGGCAGGATTAGGAATTTCTTAGAATTGGGGTCCACGGAAAAGCGCGGGGCTGCAGACTGGGAGAAGGCACACTTCTGTAACACCAGGAAGCAGGTGCAGTGACATCTCCACAAGACAAGGGAGCAGCAACAGCTGCATTTACATGGGACAAGGACACTGGAAGTACCCGGAAAGGTCCGTGTTTACAAAATAAAGGGAAGGAAGAAAGGCCTTCATTCGGATGGAAAAGAAGAGCCCAGAGGAATGGAGGGTCGAGAGGGAGGAGGGCCTCAGGAATCACCATCGGAACCAATTCCAGGAGGAGGTGGACGGTCGGAGGGGTATGAGGGCAGAGGAACTGCAGCCTTTATCAACCAAGGGAAAAGGGACGCCGTGGGACCCGTCCCCCCTGCCTACTTGGAGGTTCACCCTGTGGGGCCCTTCCCCCTCCTCACGTGGGGGTCTGTCAGGAAAGCTTCACCCTGGCTCCGCCACTTTCTGTCCACGGATTCACCCTTCGGTCCCAGCGGACAACGGATCCGGGTTCCGGTCCCAACATTCGGTCTCAGCGGGAGGATCGGTCCTTCCTCTCAGGAGTTCTGTCCATCGGGGCTGAGTCCTCTGTCCCTCCCGGGCCACTGGCTGCCCCTAACCCTGCCCCCTGCAGAGGAGCCAGGACAGAGCTGGTGGGCTGGAGGACCACCCAGGAGGGGCTAGGGGCCCGGGCTGCACCCTGCACCCCGCGTGCAGACACCGTGGCCTCCAGAGGACCCACCGGCCGCCCTCAGCCAGCACCGCTGCTCCCAGCTGCTCAGAGTCACCAGGCTTGTCCTCAGGGCCAAGGATGAGCTGGCCCAGTGCCCCTTGGGTCAGGGTCAGACACTGGGAAGGAGGGACCCCCTCCTAGGCCCCCGGTGCAGCCGCTGCTCCCAGCTGGAGGCCAGCAACCAGGACCATCTGAGAAAGTGCCAGGACCCCCCAGAGCAGCAAGGGGGGCTGTACAGGGGCAGGCCGGGCGGGCAGTGCCCCTGCCCAGGAAAGGCCAGCATTGTCACGCACAGGTGCACTTTATTGAGCTCAGCTGCAGACAGGTGTGTGCACAGGTGCAGGGGGAAGGGGTGGGCGCCCGGGAGGGCCAGCAGGGGGTGGGGAGGACTCGGCCACCTGCCATGGCGGCGACTAGAAGCCTCTGCCGTTCCGCATGCCCTGCTGCACTGCATGAAAGTATGGGGGGAACGTGAAGGCCAGGAGAACAATGAGTCCGATGGTCAGGAGGAGGCCCAAGACCAGGGCTACGATGTTCAGGCACTTGGCGGTGGACGCATGGCTCTGGGCCCCCATCACGTCTCCCACCATCTTCCGGTCCCTGGACTGGGGGAGAAGGGATGGTGAGGGGTGTGGACGAGCCCCGGGGACAGCCGGGTGCTGTGACTCAGGCCCGGCTCTGGCTGCTCCCTGCCCAGACCAACCTCCGCCTGCCCTCAGCCAGGTCAGCGACCCCCTCCCTGTTCCCTGGAGCCTGAGCAGGACAGGCCAGGGGGGCTCCCTCTCAGCCCCTCAGCCTCTCCAGGCCTCAGGAGAGAACAGCAATGGACCAGACTTGAGGCCTGAGGGGCAGGGGTGGAGGACGGAGCCCTGTGGTTGG